GCCAATTAAAGCCTGCATCTACGATGCACACGTTTTTACGGCCAGCGGAAATAAATGGTCGATGGAACTGTGATATTTCACAGAGCATATATATATATATATGTGTGTGTGTGTGTGTGTGTGTGTGTGTGTGTGTGTGTGTGTGTGTGTGTGTGTGTAGTGCTTGCGTGCGTTTTGCGTGCGTGCGTGCGTGCGTAGCGTGCGTGCGCTGCGTGCGTGCATGCGTGTTGTGTTGTGTGTGTGTTGTGTGTGTGTGTGTGTGGTGTCGTGGGGTGTATGTTGTGTGGTGGTGTGTGGTGTTGGTGTGTGTGTTGTGTGTAGGGTGTGTGTCGTGTGTGGTGTGTAGTGTGTGTGTGTGTGTGTGTGTGTGCGTGTGTGTGATGCGTTTGTGTGGGTGTGTATGTGCGTGCGTGTGTAGTCTGTGTGTGATACTCCGCCTTTTTCCTTCCTCCCTTGCTCTCTCTCTCATCCTCTTCTCTCCTTCTCTTCTCTCTCTCGTTCTCTACTCTATCTCTCTGTCTGTGAGTGAGTGAGTGAGTGAGTGTGTTGTGTGTGTGTGTGTTGTGTTGTTGTGTGTGTGTGGTGTCGAGTGTCTCTCTGTGTGCGTGCGTGGTGTGTGGGGGGAGATGTGTGTGTGTGTGGGGGAGGGGGGTATGGTGTGTGTGTGTGTGTGTGTGTGTGTTGTGTGTGTGTGTGGTGTTGTGTGTGTGTTGCGCGCACGCGAGTAGCCTTTTATGTATGTACATTGCATAGGCTATACATAGCTACTTTTCAGGCGACGCGTCAGCTTCTGCTGCTCATAATTTTGTGTGAGTGCGCGCCCCTATTTAGATATTGATCCTTGCCTGTGAATTCTACAGCTGGTGTCAGCATGTACGGCTTGCGTGCGTAGTGTTTCATGCGGATGTGCGTGCGTAGGTGCACGGTATCTATCATTTATCTATCTAATCTATCTATTATCTATCTATTTATTATCTATCTATCTATCTATGCAAATCTATCCTATGCTAATCTAAATCTAATCTATCTAGCTAGCTAGCTAAGCTATCGTAGCTATCTAGCTAATCTATCTAAGCTATCTCATCTATCTATCTATGCTTTTCTATCTATCTCTCGGTCTACTCTGTCCACCCTATATATATATATATATAATATAATATATTATAATATATATATATATTATATATATATATTCAACTCTCTATTCTATCTACTTATTTTTTATGCTATCTTGATCTCATCTATCTATCTATCTATCTATCTATCTATCTATCTATCTATCTATCTATCTATCTATCTATCTATCTATCTATCTATCTCTCTCTCTATCTATCTATCTATCGATCTATCCATCTATTCATCTATCAATCTAACTATCAATCTATCCATCTATCCATCCATCCATCCATCTATCCATCCATCCATCCATTCGTCCATTGGTCCATCCGTCTATCCGCCCATCCGTCCATCCGTCCATCCGTCCATCCGTCCATCCGTCCATCCGTCCATCCGTCCATCCGCCCATCGGTCCATCGGTTCATCTGTCTATCCGTCCATCCGTCCATCGGGCCATCCGTCCATCCGTCCGTCCGTCCGTCCGTCCGTCCGTCCGTCTGTCTGTCTGTCTGTCTGTCTGTCTGCGTGCGTGCGTGCGTGCGTGCATGCGTGCGTGCGTGCGTGCGTGCGTGTGTGTGTGTGTGCGCGCGCGTGTACGTATAGATGTGCATGTGTGTGCTTGCGTCCGTGTGTACGTCTATAATGTCATTGCACATTGCAGGCTATCTATCTATGACTTCTCCCATCAGGGTTCTCGTTACGCCCGTTACGCTGAACAAACGCAGCATCGACGATGTATAGACGAAGGAAAAAATTCTAGGGGACGCAGAGTCGCCCGTGGAGGGAATCAATAACACAACCTCCCCTGCGCATCGCCGATGTTACGTCGATGACGACGGTCGCAGCGGCGGCGGGAAACATCAGAAACAGCTCGAAGAAACCCAGAAAGAAAGACAAGTGCCCGGATGACTGTGCGTGGCCGACCGCCTGAAAACGTGAGAGAATCAGCAAGAAGGTGACGCCATCGTCGATCTCTATATACTCGGCCGCCTGACCCCGCTGTAGTTTTTAGACCGCTATTTTATTTTCGCTAGCTGTATTACCCATGCACTGAACTATAACAATATGTTATATTGTTATAGTTCAGTGGTATTTCCTCGACCAACCCGCCAGTGATGGCGTGACAAAAGAAAATTGTGTTAAATTGTAAATTTATTTTAGCCGTTAGATTTATGCAGTTTTATGTCGTATGTGGCGCCTGGTGCATTTTGTATCGCTCATGCACACGGCTATATTGTGTTCTTGTGTGCGTTCTTATTTGAGTTTATGCTCGTGCGTATATGTATCTATGTATGTATGTCTTCGTAAATCCGACCCTAGTATTATAATATATAATATATAGTGTATATATTATATAAATAGTGTGTGTAATATAATAGTGTTATATATAATATAACACGACCGTGGAACAATACCTTTGCATCCCTTCTACTCCTGGTGCTCAATTCAATCACACTCGCTTCGAGACATCTTCCCGATACGAACAAACACTACAGTCGCCCCCCCCCCTCACATCTCCCACTTGGCTTCTCCAACAATGCAGTCGTGGAGAGGGAGGAAGACAGAACGAGAGAAGGAAACCGTGAAAGAGAGAAAGAGAGAGTGAGCAGGAGCGAGAATATTGACGGCAGGTGACGGCACCATCGCGCGGTATCGTCTGCATCGACGCGCGCATTACAAAATGGCCGCCATGTGAACCGATGACATGCAGACACGAAACCAACTTAAACGCGCGGCACGTCTCATACCCCCCCCCCACCCCACAACCACTGCACAGCGCACACACCAATAGTTCCTCCGAGCAAATCTTGGACTAACTCGTACCTTTTCCTTTCGTCCTAACCATCTCTGGGCTCACTCTACTGCAGCAGTTCCTTTCAGCCCACTCTGGGCTCTCGCCTATATTCTTATAGTCGTTACTATACACTGTAGACGCGAGAACACAGGCGATAGTAGCGCCCGAATACAGTCATTCAGTGCATACTCATAATGTATTGCTGCATAGGAATTAGGATGATAATAAGTGAGTATGACTTACACGGCTCCCCACGAAAGACCGTTTTAGCCAGAGGCTGGCTGTGAGGCTGGCTGTGAGGCTGTGTGTGAGGCTGGCTGTGAGGCTGTGTGTGAGGCTGGCTGTGAGGCTGGCTGTGAGGCTGTGTGTGAGGCTGGCTGTGAGGCTGGCTGTGAGGCTGGCTGTGAGGCTGGCTGTGAGGCTGGCTGTGAGGCTGGGTATGAGGCTGGGTGTGAGGCTGGGTGTGAGGCTGGCTGTGAGGCTGGCTGTGAGGCTGGCTGTGAGGCTGGGTGTGAGGCTGGGTGTGAGGCTGGGTGTGAGGCTGGGTGTGAGGCTGGGTGTGAGGCTGGCTGTGAGACTGGGTGTGAGGCGGGGTGTGAGGCTGGGTGTGAGGCTGGGTGTGAGGCTGGGTGTGAGGCTGGCTGTGAGGCTGGCTGTGAGGCTGGGTGCATAATCTTAGCTCTTCCTTTCGTCGTTACTGCTACTAGGATTGTTCAAATTCATCGACTCATTTAACCAGTAAAAACCAAGTAATTGTTTGGTTATATTATAGCGAGTTATTATGCACATTATCATTACCTTCGCAGTTAGGGGTATATATATATATATATATATATATATATCGTAATAAACCTTGTATAGATATATATATATAGTATTT